AAGTAAGTAAGTAAGTAAGTAAGTAAGTAAGTAAGTAAGTAAGTAAGTAAGTAAGTAAGTAAGTAAGTAAATAAAAAATACTACAACGATCTGGGAATGACAGCAAATTCTGACTCTATTTTTTTATTTATAAAAACAAAAACAATACGTTCAAAAATGACACAAACTGATTTTTATCAAACTGGGAAATATCAATTTGCCCATGTGTCTGGAGCAGTCCCAACTTGAAAATGTTATATTTAATAGAATTTTATTTATAGAAATTTTCCACTGGGTGAAGACAAGTTTTTTTTTTCCGGCCACTGAGAACTTTATTTTGAAAGTTTCGTCGTTTTGACCGGAAGTTCCGCTTTTAAATTTTAGCGCTGTTTCCAAAAACACTGAACACGAAGCTGAAATTGAGAAGCAGGACACACAGACTGCTCGGAATAAACCTTATAATCGATTTTAAATGTCCGTAGTGACCGTTCAGCTGGGTCAGTGCGGGAACCAAGTGGGTCAGGAGCTGTTCGACACCATTTGGACCGACAATGTTCCGGAGGGACAGAGGAAAACGTACTGCACGAGCAGCCGGGACCGCTTCTTCCGTCGAACCGCACATGGAGGTAGGACTGCTCTGCCTTTAAATGATGTAAATAAGTATGTGAGCTTTGTTTTTTAATGCCCTGGGTGTGTTTCAGGCCTGCAGGCCAGGGCGGTGTTGATTGATATGGAGCCCAAAGTTATCAACCAGAGCATGACCAAGGCTGCCAAGTCCGGCAGGTGGAAGTATGGAGAAACTTCACACTTCAGCCAGAAACAAGGCTCTGGAAACAACTGGGCTAATGGGTAAGAGATGAACCACCTAGAGTCACTTACTCTTTTAAATTTGAGACTGTTCCTTTCCAAGAGATGTGGTGTGGTTTTATGGTTTGATTTATGCAAATGAATGCTGATGATGTTCTGATCACATCCAACCAGGTATCATGTCCTCGGTCCTCGTCACAGAGACGTGGTGGAGGAGCTGGTGAGGCGGGAGGTGGAGAGCTGCGACGTGCTGGCAGGTTTCATGCCCATGATGAGTGTTGCCGGGGGAACGGGGTCTGGAGTCGGTACCTTTGTCACTCAGTGTCTCAGAGACATCTACCCAGGTTCCTTCATCCTGAACCACCTGACCTGGCCTTACGGGACAGGGGAGGTAGGTACACTCAGACGCTTGAAAGGATAATAATTATTTTGTCTGTGTTGTTAATAAAAAAATCTCATTGGATCAACTTTAGTGGAACTCCCAGAAAGTGATTATTGTATTAAAATCTACGATATCTGGAGTCACTCCGGTTCTCTGAGTGACTTCTGATTGGCTCACCGAAGGGCTTAACAGAAATAATAATTATTATTTACAAAATTAAAATAGTTTTTATATCAGTGGTAACCGTGGCCTCTGAGTGATTTAGTTGAGTATCTCTGTATTAATGTCTCAAAATAAGCTGCTTTAAAACCAAATAATGTGCGTTCATTCAAGTAATGTTAATTATAATTTCAGTGCCTTTAAAAAAAAGTTTCCTCCTTCATCTCATTCTGTCAGGTGATCGTGCAGAACTATAACTCGGTGCTGACGCTGGCGCACCTCTACCAGCTTTCGGACGCCATCCTGGTGCACGAGAACGACGTCGTGCACAAGATCTGCAGTCAGCTGCTGAACATCAAGCCCATCTCTTTCAGTGACATCAACGGGGTCATCGCTCACCAGCTGGGTGGCGTCCTGCAGCCCGCGCTCACACCCGACTCCCACGGAGCCTACGGCGGGAATCCTCTGGGTGAGGGTGGCTTGGGTGCACACAAACACACAATCGCGTCACTTTAATTCACATCTGTCAACAACAGCAGTGAAGCTTCCCCAGAGGTTTTTACTGTTCTAATGTCTGTAAGTAAACTGTAGAGTGAAATGTTCGCTTTCACTTCAGGGGTTTTGGTCATTTTAAGCAACATTTTCTGTTGAGAGCTAAAGAGCACGGTTTTGTTTTTTAAACAATATTGTACATTTAAAAGGTAAAAATGTACTTGTGAACTTTGTGTACCGTCTGCCAGGTGAGCTGGTGAGCGCCCTCGCCTGCCACCCGGAGTACAAGCTGCTCAGCGTGTGCACCGTCCCCCAGATGCCCACCTCCTCCATCGCCTTCAGCACGTTCAGCTGGCCGGCGCTGCTCAAACATCTCCGGCAGATGCTCATCTCCAACTCCAAGATGGAAGAAGGTAGGTCACCCCCTTTTTTTTTTTGCTTCAAGATTTAACTGTGACTATGATTACTGAGTGGTTTTCTCAGGTATTGATTGGCAGGTGAGTCTGCCTCCAGCTGCAGGACGGGTCAGGGGTCTCACACCAGGCAGTTTCAACGTCTCGCTGGCTAACCTGCTCGTACTGAGAGGCAAGGACGTCTTCAGTGCAGAGACAGGTCGGACATGGAGGAAATGTGTTGATTTGATTTATTTATTTAACAGGAAAAGATTACTAAAAATCAAGCCTGACTCAGCATAATTGCTGTTTTACAGCNGTAATATTTGGGGTCACAAGTTTTTGCCATGGATATTTTGTGGGTCAGAAGATAAAAAGTTTGGGAACCACTGCTTTAAGGGACAAAAACTCTGTATAAATAACTATTTATATTTGTGTACAAGCTGTTTAGATTGTCAAAAAGCCTGTGTTTTTATGGTTATTAACAAAGTTTGTGTTTTCAGACCAGTAATATTTGGGGTCACAAGTTTTTGCCCTGGTTATTTTGTGGGTCAGAAGATAAAAAGTTTGGGAACCACTGCATTAGAGCCAACGCTTTTGACGGAAGTTGTCGAAAGACTCTTTTCGTCCCTTTTCGGCTCCCCTCGACAGTCACGTGATCCTCATATTTGTCTCTTTAGTTAGCGGTTGTGCTAAAAGAGTTCCTATTTAAACTCTTATTTACGCAATTTTTAAAACCAAAATCATGGAAATTGGGACTGAAATTAGTAAGAAAATTCGAGTGAGTAACGGTACAGGTTGAGTTTGAGTGGACAGTTTTGCTAGTTTGATTATCGAAAAACAGCCGCTGCTAGCTGGTTAGCTTGCTACAGTTAACCTAGCGTGTCAGGCAGTCAAACACTTGCTGCTTATTTTTATAACAAGACTGTTTTACACCTTAGAGTAGTTTACAGACTGCCTTTTACTTTTTGGGGCAATATTCATGTAACACGCAGTGCTAAGTCGTGGTTAAGTGTTTGTACTGATGACAGCGAAGCTAATGCGCTAAGTATCTATAAAATAACTTTATTCTGTTTTTGTTTTAGGCTGCCATCAAAAGCAAACTTCAGGAGCTCGGTGCTTACATTGGTAAGTCAAGACAACGAACTAAACATCTGGTACAAGACTTACTTTGTTGTTTACTACGTTTCATGTTATTTTTTTTTCCTTTTTCTGTGTAGACGATGAGCTCCCTGACTACATCATGGTGATGGTGGCAAACAAGAAAACCTCCCAGCAGATGACTGATGATCTATCTCTGTTCCTGGGAAACAACACGATTAAGTTTACAACATGGTATGATCTTGGTTTATTTAGTTTTTGCAGTTTTATGTTGATATGAAGATGTTCAATACCAACCATTTTCCTTTCTGATTCAGAGTAAAGCTCAGGCTGGTATCGGAGATACTGATCTGATACTTTATGGAGATGCAACTCATGTGTCTGATAAATCTAAAATCAAAGTTGAATTTCACATCATAGCATCATAAAGAACACAAGACACCACAGTTATTTATTCATCTTAAATTCTGAAGTATATTGTAGCGTCTCATTTACAATGTAGTTGAACTAAAACAACAGAAAATCCAAACAGAGGGCACAATTATACAAAACGTGAAAATGGTCTTAAACTATATAAAAATGAAGTAAAAAAAACATTAAAATAAATGTTTATGTAAAACTACTACAAAAATTAAATGTGGCGACTTAACTTATGTTATCTAATTAAGCAATATCCACTGACTGAGTGCTGTTGCACTTACCCAGGTGGAAGAAAAAGTAGTTCCCTCCAACTGTATAACTTAGACAAGATTTCAATCAATTCAATTCATCAATTTTAGAGCATGAAGTTCTGGTATCGGTGGGATCTATACTTGATCTGCACCTCGCTAAACATAACTTATTTTGTTCATTTCAGGCTACATGGTGTCCTGGAGAAATTAAGATCTGTTGCTGGGGGTGAGCTGTGCTTTGCTGAACTCGTTCATGATGTTTCTGTGCATTTAACCATCATTATGCAGTGTTTTGTAAATAATGCGTGTTTAATGTTGTGTCTGCTGACTTTGTTGCATGTTTTGTAGAGCCTGCATCCCTTAGGCAGCTGGAGTCCGACACAGTTACTGTGACCGGAAAGACTTCCTCATTTTTAGTTGAAAACGACAGAGCAGAAGAGCTGAAGGTGCTGACAGTGTCCAGCTCACGCTCTGAACGGACTGAAGCCCCTGTGTCCAGTTCTGCTCATGAAAGCAGGTGCATGAAGTGTTTTTTTATGCTATTGTGTACATTTTGTGTTGCTTTCTCTTTAAAAAAAAAAAAAGTAAAATGCTCATGTTTTGTATTTAGGAAAGCGGTCTTTGGAAAGCTCACCTCATCTATTAAGCCTCTCATGGATCCCCTCCCCTCAGAGGCTGTTATCGACATTAAACCAGAGATGGACGACGACCTCATTGCTGAGGAGCCTGTAGAAACGGGCATCAACAGTCGTGCACATCGCAGAGCCGTTAGACCCACAGCTGAAATCTACAGACCTGGTCAGAGCAAGTTTACGTCAGCGGACATGCGTCGACCCTCAGAAGGACCTTCTAGTGTAAGGCAGCAGGACGGCAGAAGCAGCAGGACCACCAGACCGGCAAATAGCAAGGTAAAGTACGATCCTCCTCTTCTTTTAAGCTTAAATAGTTACTGGAAAACCTGGTTTGTTTTGACAGAATAATCGATTACTAAAATAACTGTTAGCCGCATTTAGCCGTGCAAAGACAGAACAGCCACAGAAGCATATTCAGACCCTTAGGTTTGTGTTTAAGAGTTCAAAATATTAATGTTTGCGCAGCAGGACGAGATGTCACGGAAGCGAAAGGCAGCACCGATGGCGAGTTCTGTCGTTCGAGTGAACCGAGCCGCCGACGAGGACAGCGACGATGCAGAAGAAGAAGAAGAAGAGGAGGAGACGAGTTACAGCGGCAGAGGCCCGTCCAGTCGAGTGTCGCTCCCGTCCAAACCAGAGCGAAAGTCAGTGTTCAGACTTTAAATCTGACTTTGCAGTATTTGTGTTCTATTTTCTTCCTAATCTTTTAAAGGGATCCCTGATTAGTTGTAACATTAGGCTTTATTTAATAAACATATATTTTAACTGTAAAATAAAGACTGTAAAAATACTGTAGGATGTTTAGTTTTTATCATTTTTAAACTAAAAGTTTAAAAATATATTACACGGATGGGGCCATTTTATTTACACACAACGCATTCTGGGTAAATGATGACATCATCTAGGTCATCGGTGTGAGCGAGCTATATCCACCCTGAAGGTTAATCTTGGACAATATCTGA